ATATGATCCCCTAAACGGCCCCATTACCTTTCCTTTAGCAGGCTGCCCCTTCTTGTACTCTAAATCTCCCTGTCTGACTAATTAGAGAATAACTACCCTTCCTGGGATATTAGGTGTCTGTTCACCTACAACAGAAAAAGAGACAAGAATAACCCATTCCAAACTTGCTTTGGGTCAATGGCTTCAGAAAGAATATGAGAGTACTCAGCTCCACCCTGCAATATGTGTTATAGTGGTTGGGGTACCTTCGGCAAGGGAATCGGTGACGCAGCCTGCTTTGTGGCACGGCCACATGGGCGAAGATCCCTTCTGTGCATTCCTTGCTAAAAGTAAGATGTCATCCAGAGTTTAGAGCCCCCTCTGTGCTGCACCGACCTTAAAACAATCTGACTCACATCAGTGGATTTTACAAGTTCCAAATGCAGTTGTAGCTGCCTCATCACCATTTTCTCTGCAGAATTCTCCATATAGGAAAAATTAGCAATGTTTGGCGAGGTTATCAGCATCAAGGGATTTCTGAAGCAAGGGTTTAATCATGAACAGTTTATGAAGACCCTAGCTTCATTTCAGAGAGAAAATGTGATGATTCTGAGTTCCTCTGAAGGGCGTGCCCAGTGCCTGTCCACAAGTTTTCAATACCAACATAAGCAGGACAAACAGGACATCTAAGATGTGCTCTTCACTGAATATCCGGTGAAATCATCTGCCTCATGGGAAGTCATTAGAAAATTACATTTTTGCAGGTACTCTTTTGAAAGTATTGGTCAGGGCCCAAATCCTAGATGCAAAAGTCCTTGTGTCAGTGCTAAAGAGCATTCTAAAGTCTTTCGTTAAATCTTACTGTTTGGCAGTTTGGGCATTTCTGAAACAGTCCTTTGCAGCTTATGGAAAGGATGGATTTTTAAACAGAAAAATCATCTAAATAAGATATGGCATAAGAAATGTGCTAATCATCTCCAAGCCAAGAGATGTCATAAAAGTGTCATTATGATGGATGTGATGGCTAATTGAAGAAAAATGTTTCCATTTCAGCCATAAGAAAGCAAAGAAGAAACACGTGAAAATTCAGAGGTGAAAGTATATCCCAGAAATCAAAAGATCAATACAAAATCTTCTGCAGATTGAGACTTGTGTTAAAAATCACATTAGAGAAATGAATTGATAATTAATTGATATTAAGCTAGGAGACATCTGTGTCATATCTTCAATAATTTTTAACTGTAGCTTGAGTCAAAACATACCTTTTCTAAAAGCTTCCAATCTCAACCTGAGTTTCCATCATACTGCTAAATATTTTTTTTTCTCCTGACTCATTGCTTTCACTATGTGCGGTATTTCTGGTCTGAAATGTTCTTCCACTTCTGATCACTAGACAATTCAGACCTTTGTTACTTAAGGTGAAAACTGCTCCACCTTCTATACAGTGGTTTAGACTTGCTTCAAATAACCTCTTATGCTTCTTTTAAAAAAAAAAATGAAATAGAACAGCCTTAAATTTCTCACCGTCTGGCAGATTTTCCAGATTTCAGATTGATCTTGTTCTCAAAATATTCTGCACTTTACAGCTCCCACTTTAAAATAATTCTGCACTCAGCGATAAAACTCTTCTCCTGTTTCTGTTGAGTAGCCCTCTGCTTTGCACCCACTCTGCTTCATATTCAGCTGAGTATCTGTGGTGATTCCCAAGTCTCTGCTGGAGACACTGCTTTCTAATTATGCAATTCCCAATTATGAAAAATGTAACTCGAAAGTTTGACTTTGCATTTCGTTGAAAAAAACAGATCTTTTTAATCTGCCTGAGCACTGCAAGGTCCTGGACTATTGGCTTGGACTCTTACGTACCAGAGAAATAAAAAGGATAACCAATAGTGGTAATGGAGGAGTAAACAGAAACCCCATTGTTTTGCTTACTTGTAAATACTGTGTACTCCAATAGATTTACCCATTTGCCAGTTTCTAGTTCCCTTCACTGTAAGCAACATCAATTCTGTGGTAGCTTTAGGGAAGCATCCACATGAGCCTGCTCACCCATGTGTATCAGCCCCTCTGGGTTTGAGTGAGGAAAGGAGGAGGACTCCTAGAACCTCGGCTACCCTACCCTTGCTACATCAGCCGACACAGCGCACTTGGCGGAAGGCTTTTTGCCTACTCTCTGTTATCTCTGCACTGAAGCAAGGAATTTACCAATAAAGAAATTGTCACCTAACGTATTTCTGCTCTTAAAAGCAGAAGTTTTCTTCCAGAAAAAAAGGGAGGCAGATCTCTTAAAAAAATGGTGCTAAAGGACAACCTGGAGGAAGTGCATGTGCTAACTCCCTCATCTGGTCTCTATACATGTAGCAAACTCAGGAGCCTGGACATGCCAGAGGCATGTGGCACAATTTGGGTATGGTGTAAACAATACCCTGTTAATGATACTGGTGCTGCTGATATTGCTATTAAAATGACGAGTTACTTTTTTTCTTATTGGTGGCTTTAAGGTAGTCATCAAAGCAAAATATTTTAGAACAGCATTTAAAATGCCTATTCAACTGCTGAGTGTTGAGCACATGTTAATACTGTTTTCTCCAGATATGGTAGTTTATGATAAATGTTACCAGATTTTGTACTGTTCATGTAGTATGCTACTAAACACTAAGACAAATGGGCCCACTGAAAGGGTATTTCCTTTGGAGCACACAAGCTGCGGACCACCCATAGAATACACAGAAATAATTAAGTGTCAGGATAAAAAGCTGGAGCAAAATATTAGTGTCTCAGAATACTAATGAACAAAAGACATTTTTAAAACAAAGACTATACATATAGGTCTTTTGAAAAAATTACATTAAGGCCATAACAGCATTTGGGAGAAAGGAAAAAAGAACACCCTGTCGTATTATTGTACTGTTTGAAAATTTCTAAATATTTGTGTGCTGTGGTTTTACTTTTGGAAAGGTGTGTGAGAGATGTGTGAAATTATGCAGAACTGTGAGGACCTGAGTCTTTATTCATACCAGCCTCTTGCTACAATAAAAAAAAAAATTATTTGTGGAGAGGTATTCGAGAACTACATTGCTGTAAAAAGGAACTCATATGGCCTTGTGACTGAAAACATTGCTTGCAAAAATTGCAGACACTGCTGTCCTGAGACAGAAAGCTCTGAGATCAATTTGAGTAACTTTTAGGCCAAACATAGAGAAAGTAGAATATAGTTATGGCAGGTCTTCTGCAAAACTTCCAGGGATTTCAGAAAGAACAAAATTGCACCTATGTCCTATCTAAATATTAGAGAAAAAGCTTTCCAAAGGCACAGGTATTACTTGGGCAGCCAATTTCCCCAGGAACGTTTTCTGGAACAGCTTCTGCCTTGTTTGGTTTTATCCAATACAGGTAAGTAGCAAAGGTTCAGGCTCAGCCGTCGCATTCTCTTTAGCAAAAATATAGAGGTTTACTGAATTTGAAAGTATAAAGCATTGAAGCTTTGGGTATTAAATTAAAGCAGCATGAACGTATTATTTAAAAGTTATTTTGTATTACTGGAGAAATGTAACCATTCTCTATACAATTGGTTTTGAGTTTTAGACCCAGCTCTGCAGCCTGTTCCCCGGTGGCCATTTAACTCCCTCTCCCTCCCAGGTGCTGTGAGGGAACATGACAGTTGGCACGAAACAAGTGCTCCCCTCCCACACAGACATTGCAGTCCCACACTGAGAGGAAACTAATATCTTTCAAATTTCACTATTGAGAGAGAGAAAGACAGCGAAAGAGAGAAAATCTCCCAGAACAGTCAGTCATTTGACTGAAAAGGCCGAAGTTCAACCACCTCCTCTACCTCACTCAGTAATTGCAGGAAAGTACAACGGTTGCAGACCGTAAGCCTGGGTGTGTGATAAACCTCCTTTGTAATATTACCTGCTCCTTACGGCCAGATCTTACAAATGGATTTGTGAGATTAGAGCCCTGCATCCACACAAGCCATATTGACTTCAGTTTTGAAGTGTTTAAAGGAACTCATGTGCTACTTGATCTGTGTGCTGGTCTTTTGTATCGGAGCAAGTTTCCTGTGCGGTATGGAATGCAAATGTGATAAGATGTATATTTTTCCTCCAGTGCCATCAAAACCTGTTTTTACTCATAGTGGCACTAAAATAATTTTTAACAGGGAGATATCAGAAAAGTCAAAGGTATTGGGAGAATTTTTTGAAATTACCCCCACATCCTTACCCCCCACAGCATCTTTTAGTAACCGAGCAATTCTGATTTATGCTGGAAATAGTTGTTCTGGTAATCTAGAGGATGTGTCACAGAAAACGCCTGGTAAAATATAGTAAAGCATACTATAATGTCTTTTTTTTTTTTCTTAATAAGAAAAAAAAATAAGAAAAAGGCTGTTAGTTCTTTTCAGAATCCACCCCTTCTGAAAGATTTCCTTCATCTCTAAACTCTGCTTTCCAGATGACTTTAAGCAACTGTTACTTTATAGCACATCACAAATTATATTAAGAAAGCATAATTCCAAACCAGTCCTATTACTCTGATTAAACAGAGAGCCATGTCAAGAAGGTAGCCTTTTTTATATAATAAAAATTATTATAATAGACCAAGTCTCATCAGTCAAAGGGCTTTATTACTGTCTACTGTAGAAAAACGGTTTTGCTGCTGCTGAGTGATATATCCCTAGCTAGTCACAATATACCTCATTTCCTGCTTAGATAACAGAAGATACTACGATAAAGTGTGAAAGGAATAAGGAGCTGTGTGATATAGATATATGGAAGAATAAAAAATGTTATAAAAGTAAAATTGAAGTTCTGCTTAAAAACTTGTGTTTGAACTAAGTTTCAAAAGAGAAAACAAAGATCCCTAAGTTTCTGTGTGCTTATTTTGGATAGGACAGACTTGCTAATAACTCCAGGACCAAATAGGACAGAAGACAAGACTGTTTACAGACTAAAATACGCTAAGACGTTCACAGCACCTGGCACAGCTTAAAACTAAATTGTGTTATCTTACTGAAGGTTCAGAAAACTGTCTTGAACAGAAGCTGAGAACACCTCGTCGACGATGTCAGCAGCCCAAAATGCTGAATAGCCCTGAGGACAACATGTACTATAACCAGTTAAATGTGAGTTCAAAGTGGCAATAAAGCTGTTTTACTGGCTTTGTTTCCAGTTAATAATTCTGTTATTAATACCTGTTTCAGCCCCTCCAGCCCCACCCCCACGTTCTTCTGCTCTCGTCTTGAACATGTGCTTATGCTCTTTATCTGTTGCTTTCATGTCAGGATGTCTGCCTTCACGGTGAATAATTGATGTGGTTTATCAAAGACGAGCAAGATGCATGCTTCATCAGGCTCACTTGAGCCCTTTGATCAAAAAAATTATGCTGTGACTTCTGATATTATCAGCATCTGCTTGCATTCAACACAAAATCACTTTGAATTAAAAATTAACGACTTGCTGCTTTGCTTTGACTGTGTGTTCTTGGCCCTCTCCACAGGGAACTCTAGAATATCAAGGGAGCAAGAGGAAGCCAAGAAAACTTGGGTAAATATCTATCTTCTTAGTTCTAAGCAACTGTAAACAGAAGAAGTCCTTTGTGATATTACAGAATATGCAAAACTTTCTAGAGAGGTTTCTAAAAATAAACAATTAACATATTTCTGTGCATTGACATTGGACATTTTCTGCAGAAGCAAATGTAAAACTTGTATGTATTGCTGTCTGCAGACACTAGAACTGATTCTTACAAAACACTCTCCACAGTTCTCTCTGCGTACTACTACTACAAAAATAGGGCTTTTTTCACGTTTTCAAGTGCATTTAGCACTAGCGAAAGGTGCCACATGAAGGGTGTTGAAACCGAAGTTCTCTGACCTAGAACACAGACAGAAGCCCTGCCAGCTTTGCAGCACCACACTCGTAATGGGCTTCAGCCGTCCTGGGGGAGCACATTTTAAGAACCGACGGAGAGGCCACTCAGCCCAAAAGGAACTTGCTCCTTCTCTGTTGAACCACGTCAGTTGTCATGGTCACATGAGCGGTTATCACCTGGCAATAGGTAGAAATCACTGAAAAAGATTAACAAAAGCCAGGCTGGCTACTATACCCTTGCCAAAATATTTCTTTGACTGGTCACATGAACCAGAGAGAGCTGATGGATGCTTGGTCTTGCAAATGCATTTACTGCAAAAATATGCAAGAACTTTCTGTATTATTTCCTCTGTTTTTAATTAATCTCCTGAATGTAACTGTATGAATAGGAGGTCTTTGAGTCAAGGTTAAACCCCTAAATTTTGCACGACTGTGCAAGATTTGGTTTGTTTGTTCTCCCTCCCCTAGTTTAAAAAAGTCTGTATTCCTGTTCAGGGAATAAAAACACTAACAGGGGACTGCAGTGCTCATCATATTAATAGGGCTTTCCCCAAAAATTGGTGATGTGTCCTTTGACTTATATTCACAGAAAACCGTCAGCTGAAATACGTTATCAAAATCATACCCTACTTGTGGAACATATACAGACAAAAAAATCACATTGCTCAAATGAAATGCCCATTTGATGCAAATAGTTGGTCTGTCATTCTGTACACCCAAACTGAGAGACTATATTGCATTTCACTGATTCTCAGAACCGTTCAGAGTATAATCATAAAAAAGTAATAGCAAAGTAAAAGTATGTATAAAAGCTATGTCTTTCTCATCAAATCATCCCATCTTTTTTTCCTTTCTTGCACTTTTAATTTTCATATCCACAGAGAAGTTTCTATTTCTAAAGATACTGGTAGAATTCATTTTTTAAATTAATAAATGTTGTTTGTTTTCTTCCAAGGCAAATCAAAGTGCTTGACGGGGAGGATGAGTATTACAAATCATTGTCAGCTGTTGAGTCTATCCCTGAAGATGACAGCTTTCTCAGTTCCCCATCTCCTCCTTCTTCAAGAAGTGTGTCTTTTGCTCAAAGCTGAACCTCACTTACTCTATTGACTAATACTGGTAAGAGTATCTTCATGCTGGCAGTCTCGTCCAATTAACTTTGTGCGTGTGTGTTTATATAATATATTAAAAATACAGTTTCAGCTAGCAACTTACTTTCACTAATTTAGACCTGGTTTTACAGCTGTAGATTGTCCCATTTAGCTGTATTTCTATAAGCAATAGAAGCAGCGCTACCTGTATGTGTTGATGTTGGTAATGGACACGTTTCTTTAGCAGCAAGGGTAGTTTATACAGTTCTGACCCCTTCTTCCCTGCTCCCCCCGGCTGCTGTTCCCACCCTTTGCCATCCCTTCTGTTGTGCTGGCACAACTGCTGGTAGAACTGTGTGAAAAAGAAGATCAAGGAACTGAACTGGATTAAAAGACCTCTGTACTGAAATCTTTCATTTGAGGTGAAAATGTTTTGTATTTCATTAGACTGATATTAAACATTATCCTTTATAGCTTTCTATGCTGACTTTTAATGCTACAAAAATGTACAGAGTAAAATCATCTAAAATAATAATTGTGTCTTAATTTACCTCATAAATATTTTTCTTCTAAAGTATTAGTTTACCATAAGTTTAACTTGAAGAATTCTTTCGAATACAAGTAAAACAGTTTTAAAGTGAACATTTCACACACTGCTTCACATGGCCCTTCTAGCTGAAACCATCATTCTGGCTTGTTATTCTTGTTATCCATGCAAGTATTTAATTTCTTTCTTAACCTGTATCTCTGGGCTCCAGTGATGCCTACATTTCTACAGCCCTCTTGTATGTAGGAGGAAAAAAAAATTTCACCTGCAATTTTTTCTGCTTGCTTTTCACTTTCTTTCCAAATCCTTAATGAAACAATATGTAACTTCTATGGAACGCTGAGATGTTTTGCTGGTAACCGTTTTTGTGACAGAAGCTGACTATTTCATCTTACTCTTTACTTGCTGTTTCTGAACGACAGTTTTGATCTGTGACAATCCTTGGCTTTTTTTCCATACAAGCTCCTGTCAAAAACTTCTGGAAATAAAACGTTCACATGTGTACTGCCTTACAAATTTGCTCAAAATGTTTGTTTTTTGAGAAGCCATGCTGATGAAATGTGACCATGTATTATATAGATCTAATTATAATGCTTGTTTTTATCTCCCCTCCAATGGGTTTACCCTGATCCATGCTAACAAACCTTCTTCCTTGTGGAGGTGCAGTTCACGTCTGTTCCTTAAGCTATAGAATTTCTTACTATCAGGTTTCACTGGCACCATGTTTTTGACCACAGGATGAGGAAAGATGGTGTGGGAAATGAGACCCACGTGCAGTCAGGGAATCCCTAAACCAGAATAGGGTTTGAAAGGAGAAATAGATAGTTCAGCAAAAGCTTTGCCTTTCCTAATAAACACAGAAAACAGGTCAGGCAGGGCAGATGAGGATGAGAGGATTCGGTTGTTCCAGGAACAGGAATCCTTCACTCATTCTTCACCCAAAATGTGACAGAAGGTTGAAACTAAAAGTTAAAATCCTGCCAAAGGTTGAAGTTCTGCATTTCACTCCTCATTCTCCTCTGCTGTACATCTGGGTAGATGTACTTTAAAGGCAATTTAGAGTCTTTAAAATTTAGAGACTCCTTAAACAGTGGAGAATTGGTGAGTAGCTGCAGATGAATTAATGATATTCAAAAATGCAGTGCAAATATGAATTGCAACAAGTTTGAATGCATGTGTGTAGAGCAGTCGCTTTACATTTTATCAAAATGTAAAAAGAATGAGTATTTGTTATGATATCTCATAAAAAATAACATATAACTTTTTCTTTTCCTACACAATGTATAAATTCTCCATTAATTTGTAACGTATCTGGATGGAAAATAACATTATTTGAAAAGAGTTAAATGACTTCCTCTTTTCTTATATTGGCATAGATCACACAGAGTTTTAGCAATATCAAGGCTTTGTGATTTCATCCTTCCTTTTTGAAAACTATTTGGAAAAATAAAGTTGTATTATTACTGCAGTTCACATCATTATTATGCATAGAGTTTATCAATTGTTTTAGTTAAATGGTAGTGAGGTTTCCAGTTAGATATTATGTCACCTGTCTAAAAACCAACAGTTGACCTTACACTGAGTAGCACATTACTTTGAGTAGTTCTATTAATTTCATAAAGAAGCAAGGGAAAGTGAAAAATGATATATAATTCAGTGAAGCACTTAAGCCAAAGCCTAAGTCCCACTGAAATCAATGAAATTTCAGCACGTGATTAAGTGCTTTGCTGAATGGGGGCCTGATTTAACAAGAGCAACTTCAAACATTAAATAGTAAAGCGCAAGCAAAATGCAAACACTCCCTAAGTACATCCCTTAGGTTTCTTCTTTTTTCTTCTTCCCAATTGTTACACTTGGATCAATCTCAGCCATCAGAAATGGACTTTAAAGAGATTCTGAGCAGTCTTTCATTGCATGGAAAGGGTAAAATACAATATTTTCCTTGTTATATGGAATGCCACCATCTACATGTGCTATCATTTTTCAAATTAGTTTAATATCACTAATATTTTTTATACTGAAGTTACTATCTAAAAGCTGCTGTTGAGTAGTGTGTTTTCATTATTGCTCTTTCTTGGCTAAAAGCTGTGCACACAGGCGATCTGTGCATTTTATTATTTCATAACTTATCCCCGTTTCCTCACTTGTTTTTGATCAATTCACTTTACCCTCACCACCCCGCGAGGTGATCTTTTCTCATCCTCATTTTAGAGCACACATATGCCTTTAGATTATTAAAAGCCCTATCTTCAGCTTGCTCTAGAGCCATGCAGTCGCATTAACACTGGCCAAAGAGTTGAACTTCTGTTCCCACGTTGATAGACGGCTGTGCTTGCGTTGGTTGATTTGTGCATCAAAAGGAGTACAGGAGACATGTCAGTGTGGTGATTGTGGTCAGCGGGAGCACATCAATGTGAATCGCTTAGGTTTTCTCATTTGGTTTTGATACCATTAAAGCATTGTTCTGATTTATTTCCTTTCACGTATATTACCCTGAAATATTAATGTATTTTGCTTAATAGTTCATAACATATCCTGTTCTTAATATTTTATAAAAGTGAAGAGTTTAAATCCTATTAGAAAGAAGAAAATTTCTCAGAAGTGTGTAATATATTAAACAGTTTTCAGCAGACGGAGAGAAAAGGGTGAAGCTCGACAAGGGATTTTAGTAGATTTCTTCTGTAGACCCTAATGGCACTAGAAACTGGTTCTTGCTGAGGACAATTTCTGCCTTTCAGTTTCAGTTATGGCAGCTTAAAAACTTCTCTCTGTGCCAACAAAAATTGGGCAGGGAGCTTTTGGAGATTAGCCCCTTTCATTTGGTAATTTTAAACGCGCTTCTCATTTAAACATTTACATCACTTTAGTAACATAAAGGGACCTTAGAATAGGAGTAAATTGCAGCCATCTTAAATTTGCCCCCACTGTGACCTCCCTCACCCGTACACTGTAAGAGTGGTGGAAAGGGCTTTTGTCCACTGAAGGTCTTTTAAGTGGCCCCTATCAGGCCATCCAAGGAGCTGTTGTTACTTAGAAGCTTATAAAATATGGCTATAAATAATGTAAGGCTAAAGACTTTGCTGAGTCCAATCACACAAAAAGTTGATTTTCTTTTTGGTGGTAGCAATCAAAACCCAAATTTTCAGGTAGGTACGGAAAGTAACGCACACTGGACAATTTCCAAGTCATCTTCCTGGAAGGAAAATTTCTTCCTAATAGCAGGCAACTACCGATTACCGTATGTCATTTAGCATAGTTGCTAATATAAGCATAATGCTTATATAATTATATACTTACATGATATTTTTCTGTATTCTATATAACTGTGAATGTTTATACTTCCAACCAATTGTCTCATTGTGTTTTAATTCCACAAAGTTCCTGACTTCTGGTACACTGTGCTACTAAATGCTATACACGGCACACACGTGCACACAAACACAAAGTGGATTTTTTGCTTCAGTTTTAAGTAAAAGGAATGTATTTAAGCATGGTCCATTTTAATTGAGTTGGAGACCTTCTGACTTTTGCTGTCAGAGGGTAAAAGGGATCTACCAATTTACTTTCTTTATACTACTTTTTACATACCCCTGGTGTGCTTCTTATTCAATATAAATGGTTGTACACTATAAAGATTTGAAAGGAATCTTCTAGTGTTGCTATTTTCTATATTTAGATCCCTTCAATATTTACTATGCTTTATTTAAAGGTGGTCTTGACTGGATAATCTCTAACCTTCGTTGTCATAGCCAACATCCATTATTGTGAAGGAATATTTTTTTATTTATATCTTCTATAATCATGGAAAACAGGTATGGTTTTAAATACAGAAGATATTAAAAATTTAAAATAAATAAGAAATGGAAGATATATCGTGTCTTTAGGTCTATTCTTATTGGATGTGGAGCTCAATAAACAGTAGGAAAACGGGATGACTTTCATATACTTTGTTACGTGGTTGTCTGATAGAGCAAGCCATGTATACCTAAAGCGTGCAGTTTTAACACACGATGGTCTTTTTTCAGTATCCATTGATCTTTGCTTGATTTCATGCATATGAGGACAAATGATCAAATCTCAAGTTTTAGAACTCAGGTCCATCACTGTCATTGCAATTCACAGTGCAATTAGGAAATGTGTAATTTGGGAAAAAGTTATATGATTTCATGGAGAGGGACTAAGAAGGTAGTTTTGTGGTGGAAGCAAATGGCTGGAGGTCAAGATGTCTGGGTGGTAATACTAGCTATTTTACAACAAATTTAAATTGATGTAAAATGGGATTTAAGTCGCAATTTAAAAATTTCACTTTTTTTTTTTAAAGTAATGTTAGAATTGAATAATTTGTTCCCTCCCTTTGTAAGAATTGTGATTGTATTGGGTTATTGCTTTTTTATTGTCAAATAGTTAGCAATGAGATAAATAACTGAAGTCTACCATACTCTTATTTCTCATTCCTTTTTTTTTCTTTTTTCTCAAAATGGAAGGACAATTCTGAGAGACATGCAAGCTCTAGCATTTTTAAATGTCTTCTGGTTAGCCAGGTACATATAGTACATACAATTAAAAATGAAAGCCATATGGCACAAAAGTATCATCCTATGAGAAACAGGTAAGTAGTTTTAGTACTGATATATGCACAAGATATGGGATGTAATAAACTTATCCATCCTGCTTTTAACTCTGACAACAAAATATAAGAAATAATGTCAGTTTTGTTGTTAACATTAGAAACACATTTCATTAATGTGCCTTTCCTTTAAGACTGTTCACCCTGGGAGGAGTTGTAGCAGAATCCTTAGTTAACAGAAAATGTTTCTGCTTGACAGCAAAGCATGACTCCGCGACTGACAAAAGTAGCACAGGATGCTATGAAAACCAAAGGCTGGGGAGCAGAGCTAAAGGTTATAGAATTCAGTGAGAGGCTTTGTGTCTCCTTCG